TCTGCGTTGGAAAGACCAGGTGGAGAAGGACTTGGCTTCACTTGGCATTTTCAATTGGCGTCAGTTAGCACAGAAGAGAAATGACTGGCGTGCTGTTTTGGACTCGGCCAAAATCGCTTAGGCGGTTACAGCGCCAAATAAGAAGAAGAAGAAGAATTTATACTATTTGTTACAAAAACAGTTTACTGGCAGTGGGAAAAAGAACATTGTTTATTCCAAAAAAAAAAAATATTAAAACAAAAAATGTGATAAAATTCATATGAAGAAAGTAATATTCACAAAATATTTCTACTTATGAAAAGTCTAACAAAATATAGGAAATAAGTCGTCTTTAATAACTGCTCAAAAAATTGGACATAGCGCCTTTGTATGAATAATAAACCGTATGCTTTTTAGTATATTGAAAACATTGCTGGAAAACCTTAAAATGTTTACATGGAACCATAGCGCAATAAACAGGTGAAGTAATAAAACAGCTTTCTCGCTTTATTTCCTGTCATTCGGCTGCCTTATAGTCAATTTTTAAAGGCAATTTTTCAAATAAGCCAGTGTCAAAATCTTTTTCTCGCTCTAATTACATCACCTGGTATAATTCCGCCATGGCATAGAACAAACAAAATTTGCCGTTCCTGTTCGCAGCATATAACACAGAGAATATTGTTTTGAGTTTTATCTTCAGTTAAAACTTCTGCATTATCATCACTGGTTTCACCAAATCCGAAATGTGGATTTCGTTTATGAAGACGAAGCGAACATGTGGTACGAAGTAGTGATGTAAAAGTGTGTAAAATTTTACCTACTCTCAGACTTCTAAATTTGAACGTATACTCGATACAAGCAGGTGGGATGAATAAACAGGTGAATAATAAAACAGCTTTCTCGCTTTATTTTCTGACATTTGGCTGCCTTATATTACGTTCAAATTTGGCCTCATTTAACTTGTGAAATGAAAAAAAGCTTTTTGCAAAACACAATCGTTCACATTGAACATTTGGAGTTAATTTTGACGGATTTTTGATTTCAAATAAAAATTTAAAAAAATATTCAAAGTCAATTCGTTGTGTTTCAATTTGTTTTGTGCGAATGTCTGCTTTATGATATTATTGCATACGGATTACTTAGAGACTTTAAAATGTTTAGTTCGTATGCACCATTTATCTCTGCGTACGATAAGACCTGATGGAAATAACTAATTACCGCTTTGGCCTCTTTTTTGGTGGGCAGACATGCATACAATTTTGATAGTCTTTAATTTTTAATATTTTTGAGAATATAAATTTTTTGAACGCGGGCGTGTTAAGTGAAAGCTTTTGGGTCTTTCTGATTAGCCGGAGCAGACAGCTTTCTGATACAACTCTGCGCTGAACTGGTTTTCAAACGAGTTAAATGACTTAACTGGTTCAAGCCCATTTAACATGTTTATCTCGTCAATTTGAACGTGGTGTTATAGTCACATTTTATAGGCATGTTTTCAAATAAGGCAGTGTCAAAATATTTCTTCTCACTCTAATATTACTTCACCTGGTATAATTCCACCATGGGTAGGGTGCATGCAATAACACCTTACGCAATTATTTCCATTACTTGGACATTAAAAAGCAGTTTCAGAAGTGAACTAGTGTCATTTTATTATTATTATTTTTTGTAAACGGTTATAATGCCCCCAGTGCATAATTGCGAAAGGAGGTGAGGGGGCGGGGGACGCGAGCGCGACGTCGAACGCGGCGCGGGGTGGCGCGCGAACTCGGTCCGCCGCGGTGCTGGGCACTTTCAAAATTGTATACTTACAAATCCGTCCATTTAACTTGCTCATGTACTACTTTTTGTCAAATTTAACTGGGTGACTACCTATATATGTGCTTTATTTTGCTTTATTACTCAATTGTTAAGTTTATAAGTTGGTGTTATTGCTCAACGAGAAATGTAATAAAGCAAATTTGTGTTATTTCACATTCAATTGGGTGTTGTTGTTAACATTTACAAATCAACTTTTATTAACCCATATGCAATGTGGGTTTCCTTTGTTTGGTAATGTGTTAAGTCATATTTATTGTATGTAGTTTTTTATAAGGTAACAAGTAATTTTTAAGCAAAAAACAAATTCTCATATAAAAATTTATGAGTACCGTTAATTTCTTCATGATCCAATGATCGGATCTAAACCAAATCAGTATGGGACCACCTCTGAGGTACCACCTTTCCTTTAAACATAGAAATCGGTTAGCGTGGTCTAAAGTTATGCAGTTAAATACATAAAACAATACTTCGACGAGTTGATAACCTCCTCCTTTTTTTGAAGTCGGATAAAAAAAAATATAATGGTTGCGTTTTTTTCTACATTCCAGATAATCCCATTTCACAGCCAGAATAAACAGAATGCGTTTGAAACATATGTTAACATATCATCAGGAACGTTCTCAAGAATAAGTAAACAACAAAGTTTATTCCAAACGTTCAGAATTAATAAAGAAATACAGCCAATAAAAAGTATTTGACGTTTTTTTGGCTGAAATGATGATTTTTGGGGCAAATTGACGATGTTTCAGTGAACGATTTCGGCAACGCTGGCTCTATCACACATACAATCTCACTATTCTGCCGACTTCGTTTTCCCCTTCCGATAACTTTTTTCCTCCGCGCTTGCCTAGCCCCGCTGTGCAAAGCTTTGCCCGCGCAGTCGCCCGCGACACATATGTGCTTTTTTGGGCATCCCTATCCTAAAAGGTTGCTAGAGCAACAAAAAGAAATTTTCGGGGGAATTTGGTTTTTGATATTGTCTTTTTAACTACATATATATAGAATTTGTATCGTATGAATTATAACAAAAACGCAGAGGTTTGTGAAACTATTAGCGAATGCTATACCATTATTTATTTATTTATTAATAATATGTATGTATATAAAAGATGCCATCATCTTTTTATTTGTTACAGTAAAGTTCTTTAAGATTGCTTGTTTAGGATTGATTCAACATGAAACTCTTAACTAATCAAATTGCATGAAAAAATAGTAAATTACAAGGAATTTAGTAACAATACAAAGGTTAATTCATACAACGGCTGTGAGTGGTGGATAGCATTAATTTAATTGAGTAGAATTGCAGGTCTTTTATAATCCTATCACTATCGCATACTCAAATCTGTAAATATATGTATAATTATATGTATATAAGAATATGACTCGCTACCTACAACTTGAATATGTATTACATTTTGTTATATTGTAGATGAATCGTATAGGTAACCGCGGTATTCATAAACTCTTTTATACATTTATGGACTTTTTGCTTTTATGCCTTTGACTTGATTATAATTTTATTTATCATTTTAGTTCTAAACGAATCTTGTTGTTAACATACCTCGTATCAAAGCGGATATGTGTTTGCAAACAACTAGATACAGAATCTCTGTAAATAATTAAAGGTAAAGAATAATATCGCAAATATTCGACGCCGCGCCGCGATATGCGTTAAATAAATCGGAATTTATGTGAGAAATTTAATTATATTGGTTATAACCATGATTCAGATTCAAATTAATTATCATGTGCTAAATTTTCTATTTACTTATTTCCGTTATGCTGAGGTCGTCATATGACACTGTTTTAACTAATATAAACACTAAAGCAACATCAAACTATAGACTCAGCGGTTTTCCGCGATCAGCGTCGCCAGGATCGATCCTCAGACTCCTCATCTTCCTCTTCGTCCTCAAGACGGAGTTCAGGTAATGTTTCCCCAGTAATTTCCGAATCATTAATATGTTTATCACTAGTGTTGGGTGATGTGACCAATTTGATAGGTTCCAAAGTATTCGACTTTGCATCTTGATTAGCTGATTTATCAGTAATAAAAGCTCCCGGATTAGCCGCCGTTGAAGATACGACCGGTGCCCAGGATATCTGTTTAATAGAAAAAAGTAGTTTAAATTATCTTATTCGGTGTTTAGTTATAGGAAAATATTGTATTGAACTAACAAAAGTATATCATTCGCATATTTACATAACCGAAGCTCAAAGGGGTTTAACTAAACATAAATTAAATAAAACTCGACGCAAATCGAATTGAACTGCCCTTAACACAGTAAAAAATGTTCGAATGTTCGTTCTAAATTTAGTCGGAGTCTAGTGGATAATACAAAGGTAAAATTATGATTTTCAAAACACATGACTGTCCATATCCTGACGCTAGGCGCACACTACATCCGATAGGCTGCCCGATTTCGGTCGAACAATTTAACTCCCAAAAACTAATGCGCACACTTAACTAGAATATTAGCCGAAGGCATTTGTACGCACAAATCAGGTTTGCATTTCAGTTTTGAAAGCAGTGAAAACTTTTAATACATTTTAATAGATAAACTCTAAGGCCCCTATTATGAGTTACATTCGATCTTCGACTGTGGTCGAAAGTGCTGGTCGAACGAATTTTCATTTGGTATTATGGCGCTCATTCGATGAAGAATAGCGCTATTGTGAACTTCGCTCGTTTATGTTGTTCACAATAGTATATTTTTCACCGCTGAGAAGCTTTGTTTACAAATCGAGCAAACTAAATAGTGTGCTTATACATATTTATGTAAATTTGTGCAAATTAAAATGAAATAAAAAAGAAAGCAAGTTTATAAAAACGTGGTAAAAATTAGTACAACGAAGTTCTGGGCTTCAACGATTCGTCAGAGGATGAGAGTTTAGTGAACTGACCAGGAGTAGTAAATGTTTAAGAGAGTTTAAGTGTAGTCTTTAAAATATATTTTGACATAAAATATATTTAAGAAATTTGTCTACAGATTTACTAAAAACTTCCGACTGTCTAAAGAGGATAACCAGCGAAGATCGAAAATCGAATGCAACTCATAATAAGGGCCTAAAAATGTAATTTTAGAGAGCATTTTTTTTTTGCACGCAATTAGTTAATTTTTATCGTAGTCCATTTTAGTACTTTTAAGATGACATCGGCGATAAATACAAACATGCTTGAATTATTCGTCACCAGCGTCCGGACTTTGCTCCGATCGGAGTAGATTTACTCCGATTTCATTTTTAAATTTTAAATCTACTCCCTACTCCGCTTGACTTAAAATATGCTCCGATTTTTTTACTTTTTTACATTCAGAAAATATTACAAAATAATATGGTAACTTCTTTAATTTTTGCTCAATAGCTTCTGTGGCAACCACCAAGGTTTTGTAGAACAGGGTATAACAGAAGTTGTATCTTTTACTCTTTAACATTCCTTGCGGCATCACTTTTTATTTCCCAAAGCAGGAGATTGATTGGTTTACATACAGGGATATGAGAAGAAATGAAGCAATTATAAGATTGTAATTTTTAAATCCTTTTTGTTGTATCTTCAAAATTCCAAGGCGAATTTAATAAGGTGGTATTAGCGGCGAATCTGAATTTTTCGCCATTACATCAAAATGATGTGTTTGTTGTAATTCATACCATATGAATATCTGCGTATAATTTGTGAGTGTAATTTTTTACTTATATGCTAACACAACCTTATTAAATTCGCTTTGCAAAATTCGCGGAAATTCATTTCGCCAAAAATAATTCAACGCTATGCTGTTTGCGCGGTTTTTGGTCGATCTTGGTTACAAGGTAAGAAATACAATAAAAATCACATTTTTAATTACTATTGCACATACATATGTATATTTTCAGATTGACGACAATATTAAAACGCCAGACAGTGCAATAAAATACCCAAAAAAAAACAAAGCTATTTGGAAGAAAAAAAGGCCATGGTTGAAAAATGAAAAACGTATCGCATACTGCAAATTATGCAAAAAAAAAGAACTTAGCAATAACGTAAATCATTTGGATCGAAAGGAGGAGGGTAGTAAAAATCATGCGTGTTTATCAGATCTCGTGGAGAAGAAAATAAGAATGCAGGCCAAAAAGGACGCAAATCTACAAAGGGAAGTGACTACGGTAATGTACTACGTATCAAATGTTTTACCTTTTACTACAATGGACACAATACCTAATTTATTTGCTGTATCTGGTGGCGAGAAAATTAGTTGCTGTGCGAAAAAAGCAGCAGCGTTGGTCAGTCTTATTTCTACTTTTACTAAGAACCAGATATAAAAAACCTTAGAAATAAGCAGTTTCCTCTTATAATAGACGAAAGCACAGACATTTCGTCTAATAAATGTCTTGTCTTAGTTGCGCGATATTTAGAAGAAACAAATATTAAATACGTGTTTTTTGGGATGATTAAACTAGAAGACTCAACGGCGGACTCAATGTCAGGTACAATAAAAAAGTATTTCTCAAACCTTCAAATTCCCGGCCAAAGCTTGATCGGCTTAGGCACCGATAATGCCGCTGTAATGAAAAGTAATTTTCGAGGCGTGCAGGTACAGCTGAAGTCATTAAACCCTAACCTTTTCTATTTGGGCTGTACCTGCCATTCCATTAACCTTTGCGCTAAGGCTACTTCAAAATGTATTCCTTTTGAAACGGAAGTGTTGGTAAAGTCAGTTTTTAATTTTTTCGCTCATAGTGCGAAAAGGCAAGCTGAATTTAAAACGTTCAAAGAATATTTAAACGTACCGGAATCATCTTCATCTTCATCATCTTCATCATCATCTTCATCTTCATCTTCATATTCACCTTCGTCTTCATCTTTTTCTTTATCCTGATTTATATCTTCATTCTTTTCTTCATTTACGTATTCACCCTTTCCTTCCTCGTTGTCTTTATATTTAGGTTTCTTTACTTTTATTCTAATCTTTGCCTTTATCCCTTTCTTCTTCTACATATTCAACTTTACCTTCTTCCTTGCATGAATCTTAATCTTCATAAATCTGATTCCTAAACTGCTGCTTAGCAGATTTTTTTAATTAAGTATCAATATTAAATCACACATTGAGGAGGCATTTCCGCCCCAACCTTGTACATGTACGGTATTAGTATTGGTGTCACTTCGAATTGATTTTTTCGCGTTATGTTAAACCAATTTGAAATTTGAAAAATTGCCTGCACATCAGCATCAAAATACCTTTCTAATTGTTTATACCTTAGAGGTATAGTTTAGCCGCAAAAGGGGTGTAAAGGAAACATGATTGCCTATTTATATATAAGATAAGATACCAAAAACCATAAAACATACGGAAACATCATTGTATTGCAATATATTCGGGGTCTTCATCAAAAGTGATAAACTGATTTAATTATCATTTTATCTCGTTTATCGGAAGTTTATCAATTTATATGAGCGCCGCTATTATTTTATATTTCAGGGTGTGGAGGAATTGGGTGTGGGAGTTACTTTGTTGTGAATTCAGGTGTGGTGGGCTTAAGAGGTGTGGTGAGTTTAGGTGTGGTGAATTTAGTTTCGGTGAGCTGAGGTGTGGTGAATTATGGTGTGGTGATTTTAGGTGTAGTGGATTTAGGTGTAGGGAGTTAAGGTGTGGTGAGTAAAGGTGTGGTGAGAAAGTTGAGGTGTGATGAATTAAGGTGTGGTGAACTAAGGTGTGGTGCATTTAGAAGTGGGGAGTTAAGTAGTGGTAGATTGTGGTGAATTAATGTGTGGTGAGCTCAGGAGGAGTAAGTTTTTAAGCGGAGGTGAGATGAGTTATCTTCATCTTCATCTTCATCTTCATCTTCATCTTCATCTTCATCTTTATCTTTATCTTTATCTT